ACACACACACACACACACACACACACACACACACACACACACACACACACACACACACACACACACACACACACACACACACACACACACACACATGCACGCAGACTTTCACCAGGGAACAATGAGAAAAGGCGAGCCGCCCTCGAGCCAAGGTGGCTCCTTCCACCATCGAGGCATTTGCCCATCGTCTTCCCTTCACCACACCCCCTTGCCTCTCCTCTTGCATCGGGATTTGCCTTTTTTCTGCCTCTTCTGCCGGATTGTCCCCAGCCCCCCCCGACCATGAAAGCCTTCTCCAGCCAGGACGTCCTGCGGGCATGCACGCGCGTCGCCACCATGGCCCGTGCAGCCCGGGCAACCGATGACATTCGGGAGATCCGCCAAGCGGCGGACCAACTGCTGCGCCTGGCCACCGGGGCGCCGGCCGGCGAGTATCAGCCGTCTCCAGCTGCGGCGGATCCGGACGCCGCAGCGGCGGCCCTCAGGGCCTTTGACGTGAACCAGGCAGCCGCCGCCTGGCAGCGGTACCACAGCCATCCTCGGGCCGGGGCGTTGGTTCGCTGGGCCGGGGCGTATCTGAACCCGGCGGCGCCCGGCTTCGCGGATCAGGCGCTGGAGGCTCTGCGGCAGGCGGCCGCCGGCCCCACCCCCGAGGGGGCCAAGCCCGCCAGCCCCCCCGGCACCGACGACTGGAGCACCCTCCCCCCGGCCGAGCAGGACCTGGCCGACCGCGAGATGCTGGACTTTGTCTTTCTCATTGACCTGCTGAACTTTGGCACCTGGCCCGATCCGGAGGATGTGGAGGCCGCTCGGCAGGCGGGCGCCGCGCATGGCGGCGTCTTCGGTGTCACCTGGGCCGGTCGCCGACAGGAGGGCTATGCCGGGTTGTGTGCGGCGGTGTTGCGCGCGGCCGCGGCCGGGGTGCCAGTCGCACGACCGGCCTTCTGGCTGGCGGCAGACGATCGCCTGCTGGAGGCGGTCTTCCTCGGGGAGGCCGGCGCCCCGGGCATTCCCCTGCTGGCCGAGCGGGTGGCCCTGCTTCGGGCGGCCGGCCGCGGCTTGGCCGAGCATGGGCTGACCTCGTACGCGGAATTCGTCGACCGCTTCGCTCGGTGTGGCTCGCTCAAGGTGTCGGGACCCGGAGGCATGCAGCTGTGCGCGTGTGGCACTCTCCCGGGCCGGAGCGGGCCGCCCTGTGCGCAGGCCCTGCTCCGGGCCCTCCAGGCGGGCCTGCCGGCGGCCTGCTTCGCCGGCGATGTGGCCATCTACGCGCCGGCCCCCAGCGGATCGGATGCGGTCGACTGGCTGGACCACGTCAGCCCGGCCCCCGGCGAGACCTACTTCGATGGCGAGCACGGCCAGGGGCCTTCCTTCCAGGTGCCGCTGTTGAAGCGCGCGCAAATCCTGGTGGCAGACACCTGGGCCGCGGTAAGTGGCCGCGGCCCGGCCGCCTTCGTCCCGGCCTCCATCCAAAAGCTGACCATGTTCGCTGATAACCGCGTGCCGCAGGCCCTGCGGCATATTGGCATGCTGCAAATTGTCGCCCCGCCGCTGGAGGCGCGCTTGCGGCGGAGTGCGCAGGCCGGCCCCTCGTCCGCTGGCGGGGCCGCCGGCTCGGCCTCCTCGGCCTCTGGCTACGGGGCGGCCTACGGCCGTGGGGCTGCCTTCGGTCGCGATGCCTATCTGGATGCCGGGTCCTCGGCCGAGATCGAGATTCGGGCTGCCAGTGTGGTGGCGGTCGACCGGCTGCGAGCCGAGATGCAGCAGACCTTGGCCCAGGCGGCCCAGCATGGCCGGCGGTCTGCCCCGACAGTGACGGCCCTGCAGATCGATTACCTGCTGTGGGAGTGGGCCAAGCGCGACGCCGCGGCCATGGCCGACATCTCCACCCACCGGACCCGGACCACCAACTATTGATACGCCTGCCCGCTGTGTGCATGTGTGTGTGTGTGTGTGGCCGCCGATGTCCGAACGGGGGAGGGGCAGGCAGGACGAGTGGCGAGGGCCCAGAGGCCCAGAGGCGCGGCAGGAACGCGGACATACGAGCACCATACACTGCCCGGATCGCGGGCGGCCCGTGGCACACAGAGGTCCCCATCCGGAGTGCGAGCACAAAGCCAGCACACCTCCCAGAGACAGGAAGGACAAAGGATGGGCCGGGCCGGGCCGGGCTGGGCCGGGCCGGGCTGGGCTGGGCTTGTCCCGCCTCTCCCGGGTCACCGGCGGTTCATGTGTGCCCATATGTGCATGTGTGTGTACGCCGCGCAAGGCACGCCGTCGCTCGGAGAATGTCTCTGGACGACGATCGGCCGCCCTCCTCGTGACCTCCGGCCGAGCACCCCACAATCCGAACATCCAGATCCACAATACATTCGTTGGGAGTCTTCGCCGACTGGCATGGCCGCCGGGCGTTTTTGCCGCCCTTCCTGGGGACTCCGGGCGGGGCGGGATGCGGGGCGGGACGCGGGGCGAGGGGGTGCCCGTGCGGGGGGCGGGGGGCGTGCCCATGTCCGCGGGAGACGGCGTGGGTCTGTTCCCTGGAGGCGCGCGCGGCCGGCGGGGAGGCACCATGTGCATTTAACTACTGGCCCGGCGGGCCGGCCCCGAGTCCAGGCGTGCCTGGCTCCTCTCCTCCCTCTCGCCCCGCTTCCAGGACCGATGCGGAGTTTCTGGCTGGGTCACCGACAATGTCCGCCCCAAGAAGTGACGGCCATGCCAGGTCACCGGTCTCACGGCGCGCGGTCGGTCCCTCGCGCTGACTGGGCGGTTTGGGCGCCGGGGACCATGCGGGGCCTGGCTTTTCTCTCAGGTCCCCCCCCCCCCTATCCCCGGGCAGCCGTCGGCCGCGCGGCGGTGGCTCTGGCCCGATTGCAATCTGTCCCATGTAATCACCGAAGTGCGCGGGCAGGGGGGGGGGGGGCATGGCATTCAGAGATCTTGGCTGGCATGCGGTTGAGCACGCGGGAGCACCCCCGTGGGCGAGTCCAGTCGCCCGGGGGAGGGGGGCCGGTCGCCCGGTTCAGCCCGGACCCTTGGCCCCCGGAGGTCTCCATGGGGCGTGGAGGTTGGCCTGCCGGGCCTGATGGCTGGTGCTCGGGGGGGGGGGGGGGGGGTACGGGGGCCAACAAGAGGAGCTCCCTCTTCACTCATCCAAAGTTCTCGGCACCGGATCGGACTTATTTCGATTGTACTCCTCCCCTCCCCCCTCCCCCCCTCCTGCTCTTACTCTCTCGCTAGATGAGCACGATTGCCCGGCACCTTGCGCGCCCGCCCCTTTTCCGGGCGCTGGCCCGCTCCGCTCCCTCCTATGGTGCCCGCTGTGGGGCGCCTCCTCCTTGTCCTTCCCCTCGTTTTTTGTGACACCTTCTTAACACAGCTCCCTCTTGCTCCCCAGGGACGGGTCCCCACCTCCCCCCACCCCGCTTGCCCATCGCACTTGCCGTGCCCGCCGCCACCTCTCGGCTCTTCTCCACCAAAAGTCCGCCCCATATCCCCCCGCCCCGATCCCGAGCCCCCCCCCACTTGCCACGCGCACACGCGCGCGCCTTTCCCCTGGTGCTGCCGGGCTTTTTTTTCCCCCTCTCACTGACGCGCCTGTCCCTCTCCCCTCCCGTCGCGTGAATATGCCCACACAGTGACCACCTCCTCTGTGTGCGCTCAGCCCGCCATTGATACCCCTCACTCTCCTGCCACTGTTGCCTCCAAGCTCGCCGAGGCATCTCCCCCGGTTCCGATGGCCACCCCTACCCCGGAGATCACCGGCGATGCGGCGGCCCTCCTGAATGCCTCAACCTGCTCCCGGCCGGTGGTCATTTGCGGCCCCTCTGGCGTGGGCAAGGGGACCCTGCTGAAGAAGCTCTTTGCCGAGTTCCCGTCCGTCTTCGGCTTCAGCATTTCTCGTGCGTTTCCTCACTCCTCTCCCCCCATGCAGGCCGCCCAATAGCCCGTCTGCGCCTGTCCGCCTGTCCCCCCTGCTGACACACCTTGCCCTTCTTTCCATCCCTCCTGGCCTTCCCCCCCCTCTCTCTCTCTCCCTCTCTCTCCCTCTCTCCCTCTCTCTCTTCTGTCCCCCGGCTCCCCCGCGTGTCGCCGCCTGCCTTTCAGACACCACTCGCGGCCCCCGGCCCGGCGAGGAGAACGGCCGTGACTACCACTTCACGAACGTCGATGCCTTTGCCCAGGACCTGGCCGAGGGGAAGTTCATCGAGACCGCCACCTTCTCCGGCAACCGTTACGGCACCTCCTTCGAGTCCGTGCGCAATGTCATCTCCGCCGGCAAGTCCTGCATCCTGGAGATCGACATCCAGGGCGCCATCAGCGTCTCGAAGACCGACATGAACGCGGTTTTCATCTTCATCTCCCCCCCCTCCTACGCGGAGCTCCATTCCCGCCTGACCGGCCGCGGGACCGAGACCTCGGATCAGCTGGCTGCTCGCCTGCAGGCCGCCAACACCGAGCTGGAGTTCGCCTGCGGATCCGACCTCTTCAAGCACATCGTCGTCAACGACGACCTGGAGGTCGCCTTCCAGAAGCTTGTCACCGTCTTGGCCTCCGAGCTCCAGCAGCAGTAAGCAAGGTGGTGCACATCCCCCCCCCCCCGCTCCTCCCTCCCTTTTTTAATAGAATCCCTGCGTGTATGCGATGGGACACACGTCTGCTCCTCATAGTGAGGGGGTTTATATGTGCATATTTCTCGATGCCCAAAAGCCGCCTGTGCTTTCATTGGCACACATGCTGGCCGGGGGCATTCTTTGTCCACCTTCCTCCAGGGACCAATGGCTCCTGGCCTTTGGGGTAGTTATTTCATTCTCAAGTACATGGTCGGGGGTCGACGGGGGAGGGAGAGGGCGGCAGACGTGGGCAACAGCGGGAGGGGGCGCGTGTCGCGCGCACGGCGCCGCACCACCCGACCCCATGCGTGCTTCTAGCGGACGAGACCGCGAGCGGCAGCCTCCTGCGGTGCGCTGCCCAGCAACACGTCGGTCACCACTTCGGGTGCCAGGCCAGCCAGCCGGCCAATGGCCTCCACCGAGAGGCCGGTCTGCTCATCGGCACCCTGTAGCTCCCAGTGGAGGCGCTGGATATCTTGCTCCATCAGCTGGGTGCCATCGGCGTCGCCTGGTCGCGAGGTCACCTGGTGAGAAGGGCTGTGGGCTAGGGCTCGAGAGCCCGCCGGGTCGGTGGGCTGGTCGCGTGTCAAAAGAAGAACAAGCGGCGGGATCGGCGACGGGGGGCGCCACTGTGCCAAGACCAAAATCCGGGCTACCAAGTGCGACGATGTGGGAAAATGCAGGCGGCCATGTTGCTGTTGCATGGCGAGCACCCGGTCCAGCTGTCGCTGGAGGTTCGGCGTCCCGGAGGACAGGCGCTCGCCGCCCCCGAGCCCCGAGCCACCTTGAAATCCAGTCCCAGCGAAGAGGGAAGTCCCCCCGCCGTCCTCCCCCTCGCCCACCGCGTCCACCGAGAAGAGGACCTCGGCCACCGAGCGAGTCCGGCGGATTCTCGAATCCCGGCGGATGACATCCTCCAGCAGAGCCCGATGCCAGGGGGCCCACTGCTGGAGGATGCTCCGCACAGCGGTCACGCTGATGCCAGCATATGTGGCCAACTCATTCAGGGTCATGTCTTCGGGGGATCGAGCGGCCGGATCCCCCTCGACGGCCGGCGCCAGGCCCGGCGGCGGGACACGCCACCGAGCCAGTGGCCCGTCAGGGCTGGCATCATCGGCTGGGTCCGAGACCGAGCTCGAGGCCGTGCTCGAGGCCGACTCCGGGTAGGCGAGATTCCGCGGCCGTCGCCGAAGCATGTCCGCCACAAAGGCCTGCCATCGGGGCCATGTCTTGCTCGCCGGCTCCAGCGGGTAAAAGGGGGCAATGCGCAGGAGGTTGGATTCAAGTGAGCGGGCGGACACCCGGAGCAGGTCACACAGCTGGCCCGCCGAATAGACATTCGGGGTGCCGGGAATAGCCGGAGCCGGGGCATTGGCTGGCGGCGTGCCTCGGGCCAGCAGCTCGAGTAGGGTGGCCATTTTTTTGCGGATCGTGGAAGTCTTAGTTTCAAGCGAGAAGGGCTTGCTGCTGCGGCTGCTGCTGCCGCTGCCGCTGCTGGTGGGGGCAGCGGCGGCCTTCTCGGCGACATTCCCAGGGTCCCCATGCTTCTTGAGCGATTGGGAGATTTTCTGGACCAGCGAAGAGGAGGCCCCGGTCAGCCGAGTGATATCGGAGCATGTTAAGGGGAGGAGCTTCTGCTGGGCCAGGACCCGGACAGTCGGCCGCATGAGCTCCGAACCCCATTGCCCCTGAGACAGAGTCGGATATTGGCCCGGGGGGGCCGCCGACTGCAGGAATGCCTCCAGCGTGGCGTATGGACTGGCCTCCGAGCGCTCGACGCCGGCCGTCGCGATCGCCGGAAAGTGCGGCACCGGACGCCGCGCCCGGGTGGTTTCCCGGGGCTTAGCATCGGGAATGTGGCTCTCGACAATGTGCAATGTCGACAGGGCCTCACGCTGGCGCCAGGGAACCGCACTGGCCACCGCGCGTGACACAATGTCCAATGGGATGTTTGAGTAGAGGGAAATAAACCACAGGGGCAGGATGGGCTCCCTATGCCGGGCCAGAGACAGGAGATCATCCATTTCACGGGGCAGGAGCACGATCGGCTGAAATCCGTCGGCCACCGGGGGCGACGGCGCCGGGGCGTCTGGCGCCTCGGCCGGTCGGCTGGTCTTGGTCGGCAGTATGCGCCGGCGCCCGGCAGTGTGCGAAGCCGCGGAAGACCGCATGTCAGTCGAGTCCGTCGGGTGGCTGACGCTCGCTCGGACGGGCAAATGCCGGCGTAGGCGCCCCGCCGAGCGAGCTGTCTGGGTGATCATCCTGTCGGAGCCGGCACCGAGGTGTGCCGCGGACACGAGCGTGGGGCTGAGGAGAGAGGGCAGGGGGAGGGAGGGGGGGGGGCGGAGGAGGGAGGGAAAGCAGGGACGGAAGAGGACCTTGCGAGAGGTGAGGATGCGGATCTGCCCGATGCTCGGGCAAGTGGGCCCCGGTCCAACATGAACGGTAGCCACCCCCCTTGTCACCCGGTTCCGCGCGGGTGTGCCTCGCAGGGGGGACGTGGAAGCAGGTCCCGCCTCACGCCGGAAACGGGTCAATCTCGGACTCCGTTGCCCCCCCCCCCCCCCCCCCAGAGTCCCTCCGCATCGCGCGCCCGGCGCCCCGCGCCCACGATCGCCACTCAGCGCCCAGCCCGGCTGCGAACCGAGGAGCTGGTGTTCACCAGAGGGAGGGGGTAAGCGACACATGCGTTGGGATCTGGGCCCCCTTCGCTCGGCAGAGGCGACCCGGCCTGCGTTGCGTTTTTTTTCCCCCCGGCGATCGGGTGCGACGGCCGGCGGGAGGCCCGCAGGCCGTGAGACACCGCGAGACGTGGGACATATCCGGCGCGGGTCAAAAAGTGAGGCAAGGGCCGAGAGAGGGAGAGGAAGGGCAACGAGGCTGAGGTTAGGCACTCCCAGCGATGGTGGTAGGTGCTGCGGGGGAAAAAGGGTGACAAATTAAAAAGGTGCCCACACGCACCGCCGTGGTGGCGGCCCTCCAGAGGCGGATTGCCGCGGCCCCGGACCCGGCTTCAAGTGGAATGTGAAAGGCCCCACCGGTGTTCATACCCGGGGGCAAAACCTCGGCCAGCACAAAGCGCCGGGTGGCCAGCCGACTAGCTGCCTGGTCCATGAACAGGGGCGACTCGGTCGGGCGCGCGAGGCTGCCGACCACGGCTACCGGGTGTCCCTTCTCGTCGAGCGGGACAACGGCATGCTGGGCCAGCAGATGGGCAGCAGCCAACAAAACCCGGCGAGGATGCGCGTCGGGGGCATTCACCGTCCACGTAATCCAGCTGAGTCGGCAGGTATGATGCGAGGGGTTAGGGAATGGCCCGGGTAGGGGCACGCCAGGGAGGGGGCGAGGGGAGGGGGCATTTGTGTATGCAAGGGCATGTGCGCGAGCAGATGCCCATGCGTGTGCGTATGCGCCAGTATCAGCAAACACACCAGCCAATCACGAAAAAGGTGTGCCCAGACGCCCGCAGGAGAGGCAGGTCGGACGCCTGGCACAGGAGCAGGGGCAGGTGGACTTTCCCCGGCGGACGTGCCACAAGCAGGCCGAAAGCCGCGGGCCCGGGTTTGAGGGCCGCCGCGATGTGACTGCGCGCCCCACGCGAGCAGCTGACATCCAGCCGATGAAGCACCTGTGCAGGGGGCCGATGTAGGCTCTGCAAGTGCACATCAGCTCCGATGCCAAACGATCCGCCTGGATGATGCGCGCGCGCGCGCGCGCACGCGCGAACAGTGCACATGTTAATGGCCATCGATGTAGGGGTTCGGCACAGCAGGCATGACGTACACCAAATGGCCAGCTCGCCGAGGGTGTTCAGCCAGCAGGAGAAGACCACCGGCGGGCCACCTCCGCCGGGGGGACATCCCTCATGGCTGGGCCCGAGGTGGCATGCGTGTGCGAGTGCCTGCCCCGAGGCATAGTACTTGTGAAAGAGCTCGCGACAGCGCTCGGTCAGGGCATGTTGCACCGTGTGTGCCGCGCGCGACAGCGGGTCCAGCCGGGGGTCGGGCTTTGGCGGTGAGGCCAAGGGGAAGTCACTCAGCAGCGGAGACTGGGGGAAGGAAGTGCGCGGGCGAGGACCCGCAGCGGCCGCAGCGCCGACCGGCGTCTGGCCAACATATCGAGCCAAGCCGCCTCCGGCCTCGAGCAGGGCGGCAAACTCCAGCGGGAATACGGGGAACGACACGTCCGCCCCACCGCAGGGAGGATCGCTGGCTGGCCTGGAGCCCATTGAGCAGCGGGTGTCCGGGGCCGCCGTCTCATCACGAAAGTCAAAGTGCTCCACAACAATGTGGCTGGGTGGTGAAAGAAGAATGAGTCGAGCCATCCAGCGAAAGGAAGAAGGAACAGAAGAAGACAGCCCGGAGGCTCGAAGCTCGGGCGGAGCCTCGAACAATTGTTTCACAGACACACACAGACACACACAGACACGCACAGACACACACAGACACGCACAGACACACACAGATATACACAGATGTACACAGATACACACAGATACACACACACACACACGCACACACGCACCCGGTTGGCAGCATCCGCCCGAGGAGCGTCATGGAGGTGATGATGCCAAGACACGCAGCACTCAGGGCACTCGAATCGCCCCGTCGAGCGGGTTCGCCACTCGAGGCTGCCGCCGCTCGAACCAGGCGCCTTAGGATCAGGAGACATTCGCGCAGGGCATACACCGCGCGCGGCTGCAGGGTGATCGACAGCCCAGCATGCTACCCAAGGTGCCGGCGGCACGTACGGCAGGCGTCAGAACCGGGACGCACACGGGGGGCAAGAGACAGAGAGAGAGAGAGCACTGGGGGCAGTTCGTACGCTGTGGTCGATGGTCAGTGCCCCGGGCGTCTGAGGCCGGGGGGCAGTCATCGCGCTCCAGGGCAGAGAATAGTGGCCACGGGAAAGGCGGTAGGTGCGGATTTCGGGAAAGGGGCTGAGAGGCTAGATTGCTTGCTTCCTCCCCGGGCACCGCCACCTCCGGGTGCGCTAATTCAAAAACAGGGCCAACAGGTCGTTACGGACCGATGCGTCGGCAGGTGGCCGCCCTTTCCTCCACAATCGTTCGCGGGCGCATGCCGGGCCGCGGCGACCACTTCCAGGTGTCAAACGCCACCCGGCGGCGACCGGGCCGGAGCCCGGCCCGGCGGCGTCACGCCCGCGCCCCCGCGAAACATATGCTCCCCCTCCCCATCGGGCAGTCCGCCCGCCGGAGAGCGATCAGGAGCCCCCGCCCGCCGCCCGTGTCGCACCCAGTGATCCGATCATCCCCCCCCCCCCCCTGCCCTTGCGCCTGTGCCCGCCCCCTTTATTGTTAAGCTTTTTGTTGCGCCCCCTCTCGATCCGGCCACCCCGAAACCCACACAGCGGCTTTCTGTTTCCCCCTCCCGCCTTCCCCCGCCCCATTTCCCTGCCCCACACATACACATACCTGTCTCGCCATGTCGCGTTTTGGGCTCAGCGTCCCACAGAGGACGCACGACGTCTCCTCGGCAGCGCTCTCCATGACCGAGGCGGTGCGTCTCATTGGCCGTTCGGCTCTCTGTTTCCGGCTCCCCCTTCTCGCGCCCCTTCTTCCGCTCTCTCCTTATGCCCCCCCCCCCCCCCCCCCCTCCCCTCTCGCTCCCGATCGGTCGGCCACTGGCCTTGCTCCTACCGCAGCTGGCCGACGTACCGGCTCCCGGGCCCGGGGACGCAGCCACACACCCCTTTGTTCAGATGGCTGCTAGCATGCAGGCACATGCTGACCGGGTACAAGACGCTCTCGGAGGCCTGCACCTGTTCCTTGGACCGCCATCGGTGTCGGATTCCCCCACGGACTCTCCCGGGCCCGGGTCTCGCTGCGGTGCCTGTGGCGCCCCGGGACCCGGGGGCCCGCTGCCGGAGGGCGCACGCGCGCGCGACCGCTGCCCCTGCCTGGTGTTTGTCAAGGCCCAGCATGCGGCTGGCAAGTTGGCCCGCGCGGTCGACCAGGCGGCCGAGCTGGCCGGCGTCGCGGCCGACACCCCGCAGCCCGGATCGCCGAGCATCAACGAGCCGCACTCGGCTTCGTCCTTCGTGGCACTGGCCCGCGAGGTGACCGACCTCAAGCGCAAGGCACAGCTGGCCCAGTCCCTTCACCAGGAGCTAGATCTGAGCCGTGAGGTGTGTTCTCGGTCCTGCCTCTGTTCCATGGGCGATCGCCCCAACACACGGATTATGAGGATCCCGCCGACGCACACACACACACACACACACGCTTTCAGCTTTTGCTCGCCCCCTGCCCCACTGACCCCCACCTTCCGCAGGCTGCCATCCTCAATGGCGCCTACTTGCAACTGGAGAGCCTGGCCACCAGCTCGCCCGGGCTCGACAGCTCCATCCCTCCCAGCACGGTGGCCACCCTGAAATCCAGCCTCTCGGGGGACTTCTTCCGGGCCTTTCTTCGAGCCCAAAAACTCCGCCAAGTCTCACGTGCACTGCTCTTCTCGGAGTTCCAGCGCCTTGGGTGCGCCCCGATGGCTTCTTCCCGGTTCCCCCCCCCCCCCCCCCATGCAACTAACCCCCCCCCCCCCCCCCGTCGCGCCCCGCCGCCCCTGCGAGCACAGTCTCGAGGGTGTCACGGTGGCCGCTCAGCTGTGCGACCTCGCCAATGCCTCGGCGTCGTCCTGGGTCCGGAGCTATTCACGACGGGTGCTCGGCCCCTCGAATGCCCCCTTCTGGGCCCCAACCGGCGACGCCGAGGAGCTCGAGGCCATTTGCTCGCGTGCTCTGCTCCAGATGGCCGACAAGCGCGACTTGTTCAGGTAGACCGTCCAACACCTTGCCGGCCCTCGTCCTCGCCCTCCTCCCTCTCCGAAAGCCGGATACTGACTCTCTCTCTCTCTCTCTCTCCCTCGCCCTTTCCCCCTTGCTGGGCGGTTGCTCTCCAGCTCGGCCATCCGGGAGCTTAGCCACTCCCGGCGGGCGGCAGCCGCGCGCAGCTACCTGGCCAATGTGGCCCCGGGCGACTCGCGCGGCGGTGCTGCCACCGATCTGATCGCAAGCCTGACCGCGGCCAGCGTCAATGCTCCGGCCAAGTTGGCCGCCCTGCCGGTCAGCATCATGGCCGTGGCCTCGCGTCTGGCCGAGACCCTGTCCGTCAGTTTGTCGGTCCTTCGTGCCGAGCGGGCCCTGGCCGAGCGCCTGCTGGCCCCCATTTCGCGCGACCTGCTCCCCGGCGGCGAGGCCACGCTCGGCCCGGGCCCGGTGGCGGTCATGGCCCTGGTGAGCGGCGCGTCGCGCGGTCTGCGACGCCTGGTCACTCGCCGCGTGCAAGCCCTGTCCGAGACATTGCAACACGCTGCCCGACTCCTGTGGCTGGATGCCGAGTCGACTTTGATCACCGGGCCCCGGCCATACGCCGACCTGCCAGCCGCCCGGGGCGTTCTGTTCCAAAGTTGCGCCCGGGCCTTTGGATCGCTGCACGCGGCCTGGCGCGTGTCGGCCATCCTGGAGGGCGCCTCGCCGGAGGTCGAGGCCCCGGTGCCCGGGCAAGATGTCCCAGGCTCCAGCCCGCCGGGCCCCTTCTCCCAAGGGCCCCTGACGGACGGCCTCCTGGCGGCCCTGCGTCTGTTGGATCCGGAAATCCCCGACCCGGACGCCCTGGCCGGGGAGAGCCTATCGGCCGGACTGGCGCCCTGCCTGCGAGATGTGGCCGACCTGCTGCTGATGCTGGTGGCACGGGAAACCGCCCTCCTGGCGGTGGACCTACGGACCATGGCCCTGGATCCCGGGCCCGGGACGCTGACCCAAGCCGGCGCGGTGGCCCCCCCCGGCGAGGACCTCCGTCGGCGTCTGAGCACCTTCCTGGAGGTGGCCTCGGGCCTGGGGCTGGCCGATCCTCGGGCCGAGGCATCATTGGCCCGGGCCGACTTGGCCTCGCTTTTGAGTCGAGCTCTCTTCGCGCCGCGGGGCTTCCTAGCCCCGACGGCCGAGGCATTGCAGCTGGGCCGGCCGGCTCTCGGGGCCACTGACCTCGGTCCGGCGCGCCTGCGCCTGGCCCTTGTGCTGCACCTGATCAGCCCCTTCGCCCGGTATGTGGGGCTGGATCATCCGCCAACCGGGCAGTCCCGCGCGCTGGCCGGGCGCCTGGACGCTCTGCTTGGCCCGGCCCCGGTCGACCGAGGCACCGGCCTGGCGCTTGTGGACACGTCGCTCCTCGCACGTCTGCTGCTTCTGCTGCTGGCGCCGGCGGCGGCATCGACCGCCGAGGTGGACACATCGCCCGACGGCGACCCCGGCCAGCAGGCCCTGGACCTGGTCCTCAACGGGTCGCTGACTACACCGGGTGCAGATGCCTCCCCGGCCACCGGGGCCCGGCATGCCTTGGGCTCCCTCAAGCACAAGCCCGGTCCTCTGGCCCTGGAGCGCCTGCTTGCCGAGGTGGCTGGGCAACTCCAGCAGGCTCTGCTGGCTGCCGGGGTGGATCGCGCCCCGGTCGACGGCCTGGCCGACGGCACTGGCCCCCTCGATCGATGCCTGCTGCTATTGCTCGGGGCCCTGGCCGGGCCGCGCCTGGAAGCCGTTGAGGGCCTGGCCCATGTTGGGCAATTCCTCCAGTCGATTGGCGCTCGGCCAGCCGTCTTCCAAGCGCTCTCCTGTTGCCTGGAGCTGGTATGGGCCCGCTTTTCCTTCCTTCTTTCTTTTGCTCCCCTCAGGGCCACTTGGCGCCCCGTAGCCCAAACTAACCGCCATCCACCTTTCCCCCCCCCCCCCCCCCCGCTCCTTTCTCGCCACTCCTCCTGGGCTTGGGGCGTCTGGCTCTCCGACGGCAGTCCCCCATCCGGCACCTGAGTGCTGTGGACACGAGCGCCCTGTCGGCCGGCCTGGCAGAGTTGCCGGATTTGCTGACCGATGCCACGCTGGCCAGCCTAAGCTCCCGTGGCCGACATGTGCTCGACACCTTGTACCGGCGGTTCCGAGACCTCCTCGACCAGCCGGGGGTCCCATACGCGGGGATCATTCGAGCATCGGCCCCGGCTCCGGAGGCGCTGCGGCTAGTGTGAGATTCTGGCGCGCGCCGGCTGGCCGGCAAACAGGGCTCATTCGCAAATACATACGTGTGTGGACATCAGCCTGCGTGGGTGTGGGCGTGGGTGTGGGTGTCTATCTTCCAAATATGGCAGTGTATTTCTTGGTGTCGTGGTTTGTCGGCATGTACAGGCGTGGGCATGTACGTGTGTGGCGAGTGGGAAGCTCCCATGAATGAAGGGAGCCACAAAGAGAGGAAGGAGATCACAAGGGGGGGGGGGGGGAGAGACGAAGCAAGGGGGAAAGATGGGCTTTAGAAGGTCTTGGTGGCTCCGGACATGTCCTCGCCCTCGTCGACCTTGTACTTTTCGATGGCCTGGTGAAGGAGCTTCTCCAGCTCGACGGCGCTCTGCTCCTGGGAGGCCTTGGTCTCCTTGAGGCGCTCAACCTCATGCTTGGACTTCTCGATCGCCTCCTCCAGGCTCTTCTGCATGGTGGGCATGTCAGTCTCGATGTACCTATGTATGGGTGTCGGGGGGGGGGGGGGGGGGGGGAGGGGAGGAGCAAGATGAAATGTGGGTAAGTATGGCGAGCCGGGTTCTGACAGGAAGGGAGGGGGAAAGGGCAAACATGTCAACGCACATGCGGCCAACAACACGGAAGGTGCGGGTGTCGGAGCCCTGGGCCTCGGCAACGGCCTTCAGGTGGTTCAGGGTCAGCTGGTCACGCTGGGACGACTGGGACAGGGAAGTCAGCATGCCCATGGTGCTCTGGACCTTGCGGCGCTCATTGGTGAGCTGAGCCTTGAGCTGGAGGAACTCCTGTATGCATGCGGATGGAGAGGGGGAGGGGGATAGCATGGCAGATGGCGAAGGAAGTCGGTGAGATGGGAGGCGAGCAAGAGAGCGGGGAGGGTGGTGAAGGAGTGAAAGAGCAAGCCGGGTTGGCGAAAGATCAGGACAGAACATTGGGGGACGGACATTGTGAGCCTCGGCATCGGGGAAGTCCAGCTGGAACATCTTGCAATAAGGGAGGGCTTCGGTTGGACGCGTGTCAGGAGCTAATGGGGAGGGGAGAGAGGGAGAGAGGGAGAGAGGGAGAGAGGGAGAGAGGGAGAGAGGGAGAG